TGCACCACAGAGCAGGCAGCTTTGTGAGTTCACTGATGTTGGTACTGTACGTCTATTGATTGCCGGTGCAGGACGTCCTTTATTTTAAAATAAAGCTTTACCTCTCTGGTAACATTTGATAGGACCTAAAACTTTAAATAATTTAGTAGCTCCTAGATTTTAAGATTTACAATCCATGTCTTCTTTTTTTCTCTTTTTTTTTTTAAAAAAAATCCTTTTTAGTAACTAACTACTGATATCTAGAAGCCACAGTAATTTTTACCTGGGTGATTTTTAAGGAGTGTTAGGGTACTAACCACTAAACTAAACAGCCCAGGCCAACCTTCCAGCAGATATCATAAGCCTTAGAAATTAAATCATGTTGATTTCAGTGCTAGAATAGAAATTATGAAATATAAACTGACTAAATCAAATAGTTCAACTTTTTAAAAGTAAGGAAATAGCAAAGATTCTACAGTCATTTAAATTAAAATGCAGGAGAAAAGAGATTTACTTCTTATATTTCAAAAATATTTCCAGGCATAAAACCAGGTTTTGGCTTAGCAAGCTTGGATACTTGCTCCTTTCTGACACCAACTCTCATTACTTACACTGTATGTCAAATTATGAGTGCCAACGGTCTCTAAAAATTATTTAAATACATTTCTAAGTTCATTACAGGAAACATTAACATTTAAAACTAATTAAATAGTATTGCTAAAGGGCTAAAAAGCAATTGTTTTTAAACAATTTAAAATTTTATCCCTGTGGAAGCTCACAGGCAAGTGGATTCCCTACCTGCTTTTTCTCTGTGTTTGGCAGACGTTGCCCGTTCTCACTTTGTGTTTTACAAAGCCACAGCAAACATCAGGGGTATTTCTTTATTACTAGGCTGCATGTACAGTTCCAGCCCAACCAACTTCAAATCACTGTATTTACTTTGGCTGTTAGTCTAATGCCACAGAAGTCCAAACCTCTCATTTCTTTCTCCTCGTGTGTGCTTGGAGCGGAGTGCTGGTGCTGTCTGCGTGTGACTCTTGCTGCTGCCTGCCGCCCTGCGAGCAGACCGGCGACCTGGGGCTGAGCGCCAGCGCTTTGTGTTAAAGCCTGTGCTTATTTGCTAATTGCTAGTACTGGGACAGGAAGCAAGCACTTGTTTATTCCTTAGAGAAAGTTTCTTAGGACACAGCGCTTCTCTGCAAAAGAGGGCATGGAACGTTGACATACACGGATGTTTGCTGATTTTTAGCTGTGTTAAAATTTGATCTACAAAGTGTTCTGTACAGAAAACTAAACTCTTCTTTCATTTATGAAGGAAATATTGGGTGTTAATTCTCAGCATCCTTTACAAAGGAGAAACTTCAAAATGAAATTGCACAGAGGTGTTTCCTGTCGTTCTCCTTGTAGCGATCTTGTGCCGAGGCAGCAGGCTTGGGTGCGTCCTGTCCTCCTGAGCTTCCCGGGTTGGCTGTGCCATGCACCGGGGCGGGGCTGGGGTGGCTGGCGTGTTTCTCCCCCTGGCTGTGCCATGTAAAAGCTATCGTCCCCTTTCCTCCTCCGCTCTGCTTCCTTATCTGTAGGAAGGGGGTAGAGTTTGGTGATGTTCAAATCCTTCCTGCCTCTAGAATCTGTTACAAATAACTTCGTTAAAGAAAGTACATGGAATCATTTTTGGACCATGAAATGTGTTTGTATCTTTGATATTTTCCACAAAATCATTGAACTTATTGGCACTTTAAAAAATGCAAGTATGTTTAAGCTAAAATAAAATCAAACTCTGTGAACATTATGCATGCTGCATTTTCTATTAGAAGAGGGACTCTAGAGTAATCTGGTCTTTCCCTGTATATTGTACACAAGTACACTCAGTCCCACATTAAGGTGATGTATACAAGAGTGTGCAATTTAAAGCAAAGGTTATTTCTGATTGCTCTTTGGTAAAATATTAGAGAACCTAAACTGTCAATGCTGGTGTTACTGTCCTAGCTTATAACTGCACTTTTCAGTATAATTTCTCTGGAAGTATCACAGATCGTAATTTGAACAGACCATCTCCAGCCTGTCCACTTATGACCTACTCAGCATTTCACTAAACACTGGAATAAGCAGGTGGAAAACTTGGAAAACTGGTGACACAGGGAAAGAAGAGACATCACTGTCAGAGTATGTTTGTGCTCTGTTATGTCAAAGCTCTTTTCATCAGTGAGTTAAAAGCAAGCGATTCGTGGGTCGTGCCATGAAGTGAAGACACAAGAGCCTGTTGGCATCTGCGTGGATTCCCCGCTGTGTGTGACTCAGACAT